TGTACGCCTTGACTCATGTTTCATGCAAATAGGGAAAAAAACATGCCTTTAAAGTTGAAACTATTTTCCATCGTAACAGCACCCTTTTATTTCATGTTTGTATTCAATTGCTAGATATGGAATACGGTATTTTGTAATATTAATATTTTGTGAGTTTAAATAGTTTGTACATAGATACTTGTTTTCTCTTCTGCGGTTCATTAATTTATACTTCTTGATTTCTAAGAACTAGAATGATTTCTAGTAAAATAGAATAAAAAGAGTTATATTTGTAGTCATAAGAAATATATTTTTAAGACTTAAAACTCTTTATCTTCCATTTTAATGTGACGAATTATCATTTCAAAATTTGAAGTTCTGTTTACATCTACTTCCTGACACTAAATATACTGTTGACTTCAGGGACAACTTTGTATGCGTTTGCGATTATAATAATCTGTATCATCTTCATGACGCATTATTTTAGCGTGCTTATTAGAGCTGGACACTGGAAAATTTGAATATTAAGACAAATCATCAAGTGATATAACGATATAATACGTTTTACAAATGAATAATGTGTTAAAGGCCGTTAAAAGAAAACACATTAAGAGAATTGGACGAGTCTGTATATGTCTCATTTGTACGGAAGACCAGTAATTGTTTTTTATTTTGTTAATTTGTCATTTAAACTTGACATTTCTCAATTCCATGTTGACATTTCTCGGGCTTTTTTTGGTAATGAGAAATTTTAACTGAAAAAAGTTAGAAATCAAGTCGGAAGTAAGAAATGAGAAGATTTGAAAAAATAGAATGTCCTAACAGTCATTTGGTCATATTATTGGATAGACCTTTAACAGATTCAACAATACATGTTTGTCAGTACTCAATAAATAAGTTTTGCTACAAAATTTGTTTTTTTTTTTTATTAAAAGAAGATATTTTAACAAACAGGACTGCATTTATCTATATCAACTGATTCCAATTGGACTTTGTCTGTGTTGAATATAATCAAAATATCATTAGCACACATAACATAACATACAATCACGATTTTGTTTTATATTCTAAAGCTATTCCTGGAGCTGGCGCAGGGACTGGTATAGTAGGTGATACAGGGGCTGGTTTTTCAGCTCTATCAGCTTTTTCAGCTCTTGTACCTCTTTTAATACTTGTACCCTTACTACTTGCGGCGACGGCACCGGCTGCACTAGCGCCGACTGTGCTTGCGCCAGTACCAGCTCAAATCATAACTGTGTTAGTCCCGGCTCCGACTAGTAAGTATAGTTTACAACACTTAGTTCTACCTGTTCACTGTTGTTTAACCAGGAAAACTCTTGAAGAATAAGTAAAAAATGAGGATACCGCCTCTTGAATAAGCTTACATTGCTGTCGGTTATATATTGACACATAATTATTTACATCACCGTCCTTTAGTCTATTGTGAATAGTTGTCGAATTGACAATTGTACCACATCTCTTTATTTCATATAAATATATTATATATGTAAGACTCAAATCTATGTCCAGCCTCAAATCTGTGACCTTTTCTCAGATCTGTCTCTATTCTATATTGCGTCATAGACGTCACAGGTGTCCGGTCTTTCCTTAAATACATGTATGTGACTTTTCAACAAGGTATACACTGACCTCTGTTTTGGCGTCATCATTCTCAAAACGTCTTTGAGGAAATATTTCAGTAGTCCAAGACATCAATACAACTTTAACATTCAAATTAAATCGACACCAGTAAAGGCAATTGCAACGTTAATATGTTAATATTTAAGTACACCGTTCACTTTTTATGCGTACTCAAGGCCTTTCTCGACCAAAATTATTAAGAACATTATGTAAGCATTCTGTTTATCAAGGATGGTATAATGATCTAATTATCCACAAAACTATTCTGTAATCTAAATAACCATTCCATCAATCTCGAAATTTCTGTAATGCTTAAATGCTTATGGTACTACAATAAAAGTCATATCATAATAAAAGCGTAAATATGCTAGTTTGCTGCCGAAGGTATACTTAGAGCATCCAAATGATTTACGAATTTTGTTTTCACTGCTTTTAATTCATGATGAATTTAAATCAGAATAACATTTTTCTTAATCTATCTTTATCGGGACTGTTCAACAAAAAAATTTGGAAACAAATGATATATAAATCCATAAATGAGTGAGTAGCTTTTTGATCAAAAGGGACCCAAAATAGCCAAATTCATATGAGATTAACTTATATGAAAGAGTTGGGACATTAAGCGAACATGCATTTAATTGATTAGAAATGTACATGTATTCCAGACAACGTGTTATGTGTGCTTACCTCGATATTATTCATGCTTTGTATGCTGATACCAGAATATCCATATCATCAGTTATTTTACAGATTGTGTCCTATTCCCGATTGCCAGAATATTGATTCGCATGGCGAGTCATGCATGCAAAACAGGCGATGCTTATCCTTTCGACGGACCCAGTCTAGATCCTTTTGGGGACAAGTTAATTCCTCAATATGTGTTCGCTACCTTAATTTGTCCTCTTAATCTATTTACCAGATTTTAACACCGGTAAACTACAATTGCTTTAATGTACTATGTGCGTAGACTTATCAATGTGTCAACCAACGCTGGCGATACAAACTCAGAAGAACCTTGCGTTGATGCTTTTGTTTGACTATTTCATGATACATCAATCAACAGCATAGAAAATTCTGCTTTCTGTAATAAAAGCTCTTAATTAAATTCTCAATATACACCCAATCCGTATACTTGGATTGAATGCGAACATTAACATTTCCGGAGCACCTGAGATCACCCCCAATTTTTGATGGGGTTCGTGTTGCTTAGTCTTTAGTTGTCTATGTTGTGTCATCTGTACTATTATTTGTCTGTTTGTCTTTTAATTTTTGGCCATGGCGTTGTCAGTTTGTTTTCGATCTATTAGTTTGACTGTCCCTCTGGTATCTTTCGTCCCTCTTTCAGAAAAAAACAATCTTAACAAGTTCATAAACTGACTTCCCATAATTAGCTATTCATTAAAATATAAATAAAAACAACCAAATTCGAAACATTGATAAGTGTTTACCCTTTATCATAGATAGTCAGCGAGATTTGTTACAATTGTTAGAAAGGTTTGGTGTTAAATGTATTTAATTTAACCTTTCACTGGCGTAGTCAAATGACAACCATGTAGATAAAATACGATATTCTAATATGACGTGCTTCTTTCGCTTTGTAAACAACACCGTGATAAAATTCTCGATATATCTATACTTAGCGCAGACTCAGAGATATACATAGTAATGGATGTTACAATATACCTCCCTCGTAAATCCACATGTATCAGAACCTATTTGCAAACGCTATGCCGATTTTATGGTTTTAAAAATTGCAATTGAAAAAAGACTACAGAACTTTCATTCTTATTCGGATGCATAACAAAAAGAATTAATGCACAAGACCTCTGAGAAATCGACAAAATCAAAATAAAATAAAATTCCGCGAAAATTCATGATTGCTTTTGGCGCATTTAAGTCATTTCAAAACATGACGTCATACAAATAAAAACGCTAAAGCTGAAGGTTTTTCCGTTACCTAAACCATTGAAATTCGTATACTATTACATTAAAATGATTCTTTGAGGTAGGTGTTGTTTTATTTTCTATTCTAATGCATTATTCGCATATTTACTGATTTCAGCAAGTCAATATGGTGGCTCCTTAGTTACGAAATGTCATCTTTGATTTGACCGTAGCTTACGAGAAAAACATGTAGATTAAAAATGGCAAATGTTCGGTTTGAGCATTAAAAGAATAAAGTTCATTTTTTCTAGAGGTTATTTACGAAAAATAATTCATGCAAGCTACATATCTATTAGAGAGTTTAAGCTTCATCTAACAGGGAGTAAAAAAGTACAGCAGCACACACGGCATTCCCACCCTCGCTTCAGTTTTTAAATGACCGTATTTGTCCTATTAGAATCGAAATAATTCATGGAAGCCATAGATTTGTTGGAAATTTACACATGGCCTGGGCCGTGATATTCGAATTTTATGCTGAGCGTTATTCGAATATCACGGCCCAGGCCATGTGTAAATTTCCAACAAATCTATGGCTTCCATGAATTATTTCTTAATTATTATTTAAACTGTAAAATTCACTTCCTATACGGAGATAGTGAATGTCATAAAAGCGTCCTCCTTTTCATTTTTGTTTCTATTTTATCTAATTGTTACCTTTAAAAAGTTGGTTTAAAAGTGATACCCTCGCAGAATAATAACTGTAATTCACATATGTTTTTATATAATATAATCACAAATTGTCTGCATAATTGTTAATTAATTTCAACACAATAATTTCAACGTAAAACCAACCTAAATATACTGGGTCAAAATGCAAAACTAAACCGGAAATCAAGTTTAATGTATTTAGTTCCTTTACAAATAATGGTAACGACAAAAGATTAAACCATTGTGATAATTGTACACTGTAATAACGTTATCTTTTACAAATACATTTGGTATTTTCTTGCAATGTTATTAATGCCTTCCTTCTTTCTGTTTTCTTTTGTTCTTCTCTTCATTTTTGTTCTTTCTATCACTTTTTCTTCTCTTTGTTCGTTTTCTTGTAATCTTTCTTTTTCTTCTTTTGTGTTTTTTTTTAAATTTTTTATCACAAACTGATGTGTAAAATAAAAATATCATGCTTTTAATGTACATCAATTTGGTCTCTGGTAGAGAGTTGTATTATTGGCAATCATACCACATCGTCTTATCTTTATACTCCATATTGACAGAAAATAACACTTTTGGTGCATCCTAAGCAATGCCTGTATCTTCTATATTTCTATATCAAAATTTGTATTCCTTTCGATACCTATGTTGCCTTAATGACGTTCTTCAATATTTTATCATGGTCATTTATTCATTAAGTAATTTTAAATACGCCATTGCTTTATCTTTTTGTGTTTTAATTGCGATTGTTCAAAATGTTTATCCCATATGGTTTTTTCATATAAATAGCGCCATGTGTTCCGGAAAATTGCCCAGCGGGGTTCAGACTGTTACCAAACCAAGCAATTAGTACAAATTGTTATTCCTATAGTGGTTCTGCTGCTTCTAATAATAGAGCGTGGAGTCTAGCTCTGGTGAGTATGTTAATTAATCACTAGTTGCAAGAACCAGACTGTTACTTCAAAAAACAAACAAGAATCAAAAACCGTTCAAAATACATTATTTAATCTGTAAGCGGAGTATAAGATTACAATCAAGGTATGTTTGATGAATTTATCAAGTGACATTACAGAATTCTTAATCTCTGACTTAAGTAATTTTATATGTTATCATTACCTTAGACGTGTAATAAAAAAATGTATTACCCGAATCTGTATACGAAGAATAACAACTTTCAAACCCTATTGTATAAGTTTATGTGCAGTGTTCATAATTATGTCGCTGGAGTTGTTTCTGTATTAGATTTATATAGTACGTTTGTTGAAAGTCTGGTTAATTGTAGGTAATAGAAAGAAATGAAATTTTATACTTGAAAAGCATTTGACGCTTTTTCATGATGTTGAACGAAGCCGAGATCGATTGGACATAATTTGATCTGATTCAACAATAATATTTTGATAATAGAATAAAATAGTAGAACAAAATAACTGAATGGTCTTTGACGTAATACTGACTCCAAATTGCAGTCACGATATGGGAGACATATGTAGATGAAACAGCAACCTATTTACAAATTCAAAAAAACATATATATAAGTATGTTCTTAAACTCGAAAACAATACTGGCTAGGCATAAAAAGTAAAATCCCAAAAATACTGAACTCCGAGGAAAATTTAATCGGAAAGACACTAATCACATGGCAAAATCAAATGACAAAACACATCAAACGAATGGACAACAACTGTCATATTCCTGACTTGGTACAGGCATTTTCAAATGTAGAAAATGGTGGATTGAACCTGGTTTTATAGCGCTAAACCTCTCACTTGTACGATGACTAGCATTTACACTTTAAGAACATTTTATTTTCAAATAACAAATTATCTATGTATACACATACAAATTCAGTGAACTAAATGTAAATATGGTATGTATTTCATCTTACTAAATTTCAGGCGCAATGTATCATGACACCAGGTGCCTACCTGTGGAGACCAAACAGTGAACTAGAAGCCTCTTCTGTTAGAAATGAATTTAATTTTCGTAAGTTGAGAGTGTAACATTAATTCTTTTTTAGTGAAGTTATTTAAACATGTAGAAAGATCGATTATTTATTACAATGCAATCTATTTACTTGTATTTAGTAATTGTAAAATAAGTAATGCATAAGAGCGTCAAACAGCAATTAGTACGTCATGATACAGAATATTTTCTTATTTTTTTTAGGTATATGTACATGTATTTTCACGTTCGAAAGATTAATAGAACATTATCTATATAAAATCACTTATCCTTTAATAAATGATTGCAATCATTTGCATATCATTCATATATAAAATTCAAAGAAATTAAATATAGATAGTGATAGATTGTGTGAATATTTTATACATATTGTTATACAATTTGTTTTACGATATAAAAGAAAGGTTAATACGATAACTTCATTCCATAATATACATTACTAAAAATCTATCTCATTTAATTTTTAGCAAAACCAGTTACCCTCCTCTTCATTTGTTTTAGTGTATCAAGGATATTCATCAATTCATAAAAGAAATGTGTGACAATTCCAGTAGGCCCTCTTGTTGTTTTTAACTTTGTCATAAGCTTACATTAACCTCATCCCAAAGACATTCAAAAACTAAACAAGATTCACAGGTATAATAGCAGCTGGATGAAGATAGGTGAACTATTTATTTGTCACAACAAAATAAAAGTACAAGTTTGTAAGAGAGTTATTTAAAGATACAAATTAGTCCTGTATTCAATTGTTGAATTTGCGCAATGCAACTATATGAAAAAGAAAGGGGATAGTCCCTCGCTAGCGACTCGATCTCATTTAACTGTCCCATATCTCAACCCTTATGCAGTCATTTTATAAGGCTATTCGTTCAAAGCACTTTTCTGAATTTATCATTATTTTAATGTTGAAAAGTCACGGACGTATCTATACTGTAGAAGCATTATGATCAAAAGGGACATATACTGAATAGACAATTCCACCAATTCAACCTAAGGTTAACTTTGTCTGATTAAATTTGTATAGATTTGATTAGTTTCCTAATAATTTCTACATGTTAATGGAGAAAATGTATGAAAGGTATGCAATAAACCTTATCTGTGCAGAATGTCCGACTCTCGAGCTGATGACATCCCTCGGACTGGAAGTCAGCCTGTAGTGATAACTACCCAATATAAGCTGATAAAAAAGAACACCCGATGATTTTGATGCGTCTGAAGCTCCCTCTGGGTCTACTTTTATCACCTGAGTTATGAAAATTATGTCCTATTTCTGATTTTAACATTTTGACTGAATATTTGGATTGGCACGACTGCTGATGCATGCATAGAAGAAGACGCTTACCTTGTCGACGCACACAGTCTTGCTCTTTTTGAGTTCAACGATTCCCTCAGCTTTTGTATGTTCCTTTGCTTTGTCTCATTTATCGTTTTGTATCATTTATCGTTTTCTGAGACTTGAACATCGCTAAACTACTGTTGACTTAATTTTACTTTATCATTAGGAATGAGGAACGATTTATAATCAAAATTTGAATACTGTAGGAGATTGATGACCAAATAGACATTAAAAAAACTATCCAAAAGCATCTGCCAAGAGTTGAAACCTTAGTTTCTTAATAATTTCTAAACTTAACAACGGAAAATTTAGAAACATATGAAATAAGTCATGTCAGTACGGTAACACTGAATACTAAGCTGATGGAACCTCCAGAGACTAGCAATCTGGCGACCCAAGAAGATCTTTCAAACACCAACATGGTAAATCAAATAGCCAATTCCACCCAAGTTAACTTTACCTGAGGATGTTGGAATATTAGCTTTCTAATAACTTCTAAATTCATCAACAGAAAATTCTAATAAATGGTGTGTTATAAACCACGTCAGTGCCGAAGTACCAAAAAGAAGGTACAGCTAATAAAATATTAAAATAAGTTGATTTTATATAAAAAAATATTAAACATGTTCACCCGTTTTGGTTTTATCAGCTTTAAAACGTTTGACTTATGTTTTGAATTTTTGAATGTTTATCCTCGATCATCACCCAGGAGACATTTATTGTCGCAATGAGCATTTCGTGCAGTAAAAATTGTACCGTGAATGTTATTAACCGAATAATACAGGAGCATCAATTTCAACATCATATCAACATTTTTTTCATTATTTTCGTAGTATTATAGTAATTCAAAAATAGCTCAAATCATTGTATCACGTGTTCTTCAAAACTTGGTTACAGTACAAATAGTCTTCATTTAAACAAGAGTTGACATTCTAATAAAACTTGCAAAAGACAAGGCAACTTAAGTAGTTGAAATTGAGTTTTATATTGTTAAATATGTGTTTATCTGTGTAAGTCCTTGAATCATAGTCATTTCGTAATCTAACCATTTCGTACCCCCCATTTCGTACCCTGACCATTTCGTACCTCATGGAATATTTATATGTTTGCCATTTTATACCTCATGAAATATTTATATGTATACCATTTCGTACCTCACGGAAGATTTATACGTGTTTCGTACAATATTTCTCAAATTGAAAAGCCATAGCAAGTTCTTTGATTGGTCACATAAGGTGCAAATTCTTATGCAAACATTTTTATTCATGGCTTTCTTCTTGAGTGAATATCCCATTTCACTGCATTCACGACAAAACAGCTGTTAATAACTATAAAAATAGTTGCAGAAAATAATTCCTTTGTTGGTTATTGACCTCATATTTTCAGAGTTAAATAATTAGTTAAGGATAAACCCTGCAAACAATCAAAGAATAGTTAAAACTATCAAAGTTTCCATGTATAGCTTAGTTCGATAAATCATATGTCTTTAGAAATTTTCTGAAGCTGAGAAGCATTTTATTTATGTCATATTATTTGTTTTTGAATTAAAATTATATCAAAAGGTTTTATTACATATTATACTTATTTATTTTGTTGAATGGAACAGTATGCATTCAATATTAAACATTTCAAAAACTTTTAATGGGGCAGTGTGAAGGATCTTTCCCTTTTTCAATTATACATTTTTATTTAAAAAAAATTTCGAATACCGATTTTGGGTCAAAATTTAATTGATTTACAAATATATATGATACGAAATAGTAAACATTAAATTTAGAGTGGAATTGTATTTATCTATGAGATACGAAATCGTTTTGATCATGGGCACTTAATGGTAATTTTGGGTAGGAAATGACAAAAGTAAGAAATGGTCAAGGTACGAAATGACTTGCTACTAAGTCCTTAAGGTAACACATATTGATAAAGAGAGAGTAGCCAACAAAACAACATTTTCCACTTTCTTGCTCTGATAAATTCTCACTCAAGAAAGAAGTTAATTCCCGTTAATTGCTATTCAATAATGTAAAGATAACCTCTGATTATATTGACAACTTTTCAGAATTCTTGAAACTTTTATCTTTATTTCAAAATGTGTGTCTAGTGTTGAGCCCTGATAGAAGTGACAATTGAAAACTGTATCAAACGCTACAAATTCTTTACTTTGTATTTTACATTGAAAATGAAGTGGAAATGATATTTGTGTTTTCATCCCCCTTCATGTATTGGTAATATTCACGAACAACGAAAGCGATTTGAGGAACATACATGTAAATAAGTCAGAAATGAAAAAGAATCTTATTCGATATGTACATTTTCAATATTACCAAATCCAAATTCTATTTTTCGAAAAACATTTTTTTTTTACATCTTTCGTCCATACGGTTACTTCCATAACGTTTACATCGTTGTAACTCATGTTTTTCGTTCCTTTAAACCTCGACAGAATTTTTACTTTTTCTTCTAAAAATTCCTGTACCAAGTCGCTGGTTAAAAAAAATCTGGTTTATCATGTTTTATAGACTCTTTTATTAATTTACATTGGAGTTTGGTATTTGTGTTCAAAATCTTTTTGTTTAATCTACTGATTTGCGATGAAACTCATTTGAATTTAATTATTCTTACAGCAAATAATCAATTTGTGTGGACCGGTGCAAATGACATAGACATGGATGGGATCTTCACATTTGAAATAGAAAATGGTCCATTTGCAATCAATGCTGTACCATTCGGAATAGGTAAATTTTACTTTTTTATGATAATTAAGCAAAATAATATCCATCATACAAATAACAATTTGTTTTTTACATTAATTTCTTTTGGTGTTATTGACTTTCGATTTTATTTTGACACATGTTATTCTAAAGAGAAGAGCAACATCAAAATTTTGGGAAAATAGGAATAAATAGATATGTGGGATGAACGTCAATGAGACAGCAAACAAACACCACCAAAAAACAAGAGTCATCTTTAGGACAGTACATGGTATTCAACAAAAGACGTGTGTGTATAAAATAGGTCGTGAAAAATTAAATAGACTAACAAGGATTAGCCATCAATACTTTTTCATCCGATCCACAAAAGGCTACAAAAACACTTAACAAATATTTTTTTTCGAATGTGACCTACCGAATAAGACTAAATATCTGGTTCCGACGGGTGCCACTGGTGGAGCAGAATCTTCTTACACTTCCACTTCCAAAACACCTGATATCATCCCTGGTTTTTCTATGTTGTGTTTCGTTTACTGCTGTTTCTTAGAGTCGTCTTCCGGTTTTTTTTTGCCATGACATTGTCAGTTTGTTCTCGACTTATGGGTTTGAATATAGCTTTAGTATATTTTAGCTCTCTTTTATAATACAATCTAAATATGTACAGGAAGACAATTTAACTCTGAAAACGGTATAGAAGATAAGAAAGGCAGATGAACAAACGAATCTCTTTTACAAATTTTTCAAACCATACTAGTCTTGCTATCTGTTTTAGAAGAGAAGTACAAGTAGTTACTCTGCTCATTAAATATAATGATGTTAAAATACTCTCATATTCATCAATATTCCTTATAAAAATGTTATACAGCAACTTCATAAACTACTATAAGTTCATGGGCATTGAACACTAAAAATTCCACTTAAACGTCCTAATGAATACAAAAACCATATATGCTTTGAGTAGAAACACCTTAATGTTTTGAATAATTTATCATCAAATAAACAGTTAACATAGAAAAAAATTCCGTATCAACGATACTTCATCTCAACACAGCAGTACAAGGACCACTTGAATGACGTAACCTTCAGGGTCGAAACTTCAATCGGCATTTGTATTGACGAAGAAAATGAACAAATATACCATAGACAAATGGTTACTATTTTAATTAGTCTGGTACTTTTCAAAGGAATTGCATCACAGAATATGTTTTCAAATAAAAATATTCAAGGTAAAAAATCGCAAACCACATATTATACTTAAATTGACAATCCTTAAAAAAACGTAATGATATTTTGTTTGAACAATTGTTTTAGTTTCATTACAAAATCTGTATCACAAACTTATGTTCGATACCAGATTATGTTTGAATTATCTTCATTTAGTAGTTCTGTTTGAAATACTTGTAATTGATAACATAACGAAATTATCAAATAATTATCAAATTCAGTAGGATTCCAAAATGAAATTAACTCCTATATGCATTACCGTGTAAGAAATCTATGAGATTATTCTTTTTAAAGATCTAAAGATAGTTATCAGATCAAGCGTAGGGTTTTGTGACACTTGAATAAATATATGTGACTATTGAGGACAGAACCTTCATCTATTTAGTAGTTTAAAATGTTCAAATTCAAACGGACTGAATATTAATATATGAACATTTGAACAACATTGAAACTGTGAACGGTAGTGGGTTTTTCTGAAGTTTCTTTTAAGGCAACATTAAAGTTTCAATTTAGAATATTTATAACATCCCTTTTTTCATAACTAATATAAATATTTTTATGACCAGATCCAGATGCTTTATTATAGAAGGTACAGCAAATTTTCAGTTATGATTTCCTAAATATATGCTGCAAACTTTGAATAAATTTACTAAAAATATATCCTTCCATCATTGTGAAAAAATACTCGAATACAACATCGCCTCTGAGATAACAGTTATGAACAAGTTATTTATGAGAATATGTAATTTACAGTGGATAGATTTTCCACAAGACGAGGCAAAGTATACCTTTAAGTTGTTTTAATAAATTGGTAGACGGGATGAACAAGACTGTCTACTATATTGGTTGTGTCCCTTTTGTGTTATTTAAGATGATAGGCGAAATAAATAGTCGGATAATTATTTCAGGCATTGCTGATCCTGCTATAAACACTGACTGTGTGGGAATACTGTTCGACGGCACTAGGTGGTTTTGGAGTGAAAGGCTATGTTCCGAAATTCGTCGCTTCATATGCGAGTATCCACGAGTAAGTATAATCCTTCATTTAGCTTTTAGTTGGAAATGATCTATTTCCGTAAAAAAAATCATATATAACTACAACTCATACATGTACATCACGAAGACTTCAGTACAGGTCACAGATAGGTTACAATTGCCTGGCATTACATGCAATAAAAAAATGCATGTCTTGAAAATAAAACTGTTTTATATTTGGACAAATATTTTAACCCTAATTGTAATAACTCTGTTTTAAATAATCCTATTACATGTAGTACAGTCAATGTCGACTTTTGTGGATTATAAACAGCTGTGTGCGAAAATGTCGTCATTGACCAATGAGGTCACTAATCGTGGATTGCGTACCAATTTCAAGAATATCTATCTTGTCTTGTCTTGCTTTAGGTTACAATTTCTTTCAAAATATTGTTAAAGAATTGTTTTAATTTAGAATTGAACTGTCCTCCTCTTCAATATAATGTAAATTGTTAATTTCAAGTCACAAAAGTTCCTTATATGGTTAGATTTAAAGATTTATATGCTCCTGTAATTGATTATCGTACTCACAATACTCAGTAGAAGAACGACTGTAAATAGAATAATTATTATGATAACATTTTTAGCAAATTAATTTTTGGTTGATATTAATCATTCAAATATGTAATTACTGACAAATCGGCAGTTTTAACTCTCTTAAACTAACAATTGACCAGCAATTGTCTTGTCAGGGTAAAGCGTGTCAAATTTGTGAGAATTTTGCAGGAATAAAGCTGTTCAATTTAGCTCTCAACTTTGCACACATTTAAATAAAAAAAGACAAAACTAAAAAGCAAAATATACCAACTGTTCAAACATTCTCCCATCGATAAATTCAAGCACGTCAGGTTTCACACATTCCTAATTAAATTCATATGATTAAATGAATATTTATAGATTAATGTTGCTGTGTTCCTCAGTATGAATCGATATAATGATAGATCCAGCTGATTTAATAGATTATTAGAAAAAAAAACTACCATATGTCTACATAAACTTGCATCTGTTTTTTTTTCTTTTATCTTATTTTCACATTTCCTCATATATTTAAATTTGTTCCCTAAAATAAAACTGTTTAAGTAATTTGACATGTCAAATATTCATAATATATATTTTAGATTCTAAAATTCAAAATACTTTTCAAATGATGACCCTTTTGTATATTGTTCAATAATTTCTAATTTTTTTTATTCAACCATATATGTAGTCTATTAGATTTTTTGGTTTAGTATTGTGATCTCTGATATTTTAAGTTGGTGATATTGGATACAATCAGTTTACAATTGTATTGAATTCTAACTATTTGCACATATGGAAGCATGTGTGGCTGCTATACTCGCAATCTTTTGTTATGGTATGTTACCTCATTTCAGCACATTTCAAATGATTGACAAGAAGATATATATGTGGCTGAATTGACGTGAATCAATTAAACGTTTGATCGTTAAAAGCGAATAAAAAAACCTAGTTTTATTTGATCAGAAAAAAACAGACAAGGGTTCCAGCCAATACTAGTTTATGTTCTTTATAATTGACAAATATGTTCTAACCTATACATATACCATGTGATCTCAATTTTAGTTTTAGATTTTAGTTATTTTCATGTGTCTGTTACTTTATAGTGTTGTATTTTTCAGAGAGTTTGTACATAGAGAGTATGTATGCTGCCATTGAAGTACTTCATTGGAAGAATGTTTTTGATGCTTGTTGTAATAAAGTCGTCAAAGTGGATTTTTCGTTTCTTTAAAAAACAGAAAGGGCATATCAATGTGGCATCAAACACTGTTGGACGAAGAAAAGTTCGAGCAACGCAACCCCCCCCCCCTAAAAAAACAACCCAAAACAAACAAAACAAAAAAATTGTGAGAGTGACCAGTTTCTGTTACACTATGGGCATTCGTTGTTGTGGTCATGCCATGCATAAATGAGTGTTTCGTTAGCACGTCGCAATAAGTGAAGTCTTAATCGAAGAAAGAATCAAAGGAGTGTGGCTTCGACGAGAGAATATATTCGTAGTCACCTTTGACACTGATATTCTATAAGGAGAAATTAAGCCACGATTGCAACTCTAATGCTTTCAATTTGATGACTTAAACTTAAACTAAACACTAGGTTCAAAAACTTCTTTGTAGGCAACAACACTTAAGGAAAATGAAAATAGAAGCTCTGAAAAATAAAGATATCCATATACAAGACAGAGCTGCTGGATTGTTGCTACAAAGAAGGAAAGTTTAGAATCATCTCTTTTATTAAATAGGTTTAATAAACAAAACTCCCTCTCTTTTAATCTCTACATGATGACCAAATTATGAAGCTGTTACTATCGTATAACCTCTTTCAAATGCAACTTATCTAATTTTTGCATTGAAATCAATTTCCAGTTCGTTCATGATTCTCGTGATTCTTGGTTATTGTATTAATTTATATTAGATTGGTTGATTGTTGATGGATTTAAATCTGTTAGTTTGCTGACATGAATAGACATGTTATTGTTTATACTTTTAGAAATGCGAATGAAATTATACGCTGGTTATATGTCAGTGAGACGAGATAACATTTAAAACTACATAATTAAAATAAAAGGTGGTGATAATAAAAAAGAATAATTTATAAATTCTAATTCCATTAACGGTTTTAATGTTATTGCACAATATTGACACTAAACACTGTAATTAGAAGATGTTTTGAGACGGAAACATATTCTAATCAGTTATCTAATTAGATATAAGCCATGCGAGGTGAATTTTTTTAA